TCAGTGATTGGGGTACTGGGAATAGGTGTATCAGAGACAATAAGGTTAGCCCAGGATATACCAGGGTTCAAATCTTTTCTCCATCTATCATGATGCTGCCAATTGGCCCAGTGGTGGGAATCTTCATTTTCTTAGTGTTGAGCTTCAATTGATAATTATAAATAAATAGCACAGTTGCACAAAACCTTCTTAAATGGCAACTATCACATAGAACAAATGTCACTTATGTAGGGAAAATATCTGACTAATTGGATCAATCCATTTTACTATTTGTAAGTTATACTTGAAACATGGTGAGAAAAGATTTTATTTTAATATGAGTTAGTTGGAAATTGTTTCACTACAGATTCTGAAACAGCAGGCCTGGGGCAGATTATAATCAATCATCTTTCTCCCATAGAGCAGGTGGTGAATTAGAACCTTTTAAATTTGGCTTGGCAGCACAGTTCTTTACCACTTAGACCATCAGAGCTCTCTTTTCGGACTAAACAGAAATAGTGAAATTTGTTTTGTTTTTCTACTTACCCTTAAAAGACATAGGGACAGATTCCATTTGTAGTATGAAGGAGTCAGTGATACTGGTTGAAATCGCTACAATTTTTCTTCTGTTGTTTACCAATTCCCAATATTTCTAAGTATCACTGCACTTGTTAGGTGATGTTGAGTACGACTCATAACAACCCTATGAATAAAATATATGCAGCCAGTTCTATCCTATGTCATTCACACACTTACTGGAGCACAAGAGCCCATTGCAGCAGTCATTGTTTCAATCCACCTGGATGAGTGTCTTACTTGACATTCCCAGCATCATGTCTCTGTCAAGGAATAGACTCTTCTAGCAAAATACCCAAAGTATGTGAGGTAAAGTCTCATCATTTTTGTCTCCAAAGAGTACTCCAGGTGCACCTTCTCCAAGATATATCTGTTTGTTCTTTTGGCTGTCCATGGGATGTTCAATGCTCTTTTCCAATACCACAATTCAAAGGTATCAATTCTTTTTCTGTCATCTTTATTTATTGTCTAGCTCTCAAATGATTGGAAAGCTCGCAAGTGATTGGAAAGACTGTGGCCTGAACCAGATGGGCGTTAGTCCTCAAACTGACATCATTACTCCTCAGTAATTTGAAAAGGTTGCTAACTGCAGATTTTCCCAGTTCAATGCACCTCCTTTTTTCCTGACTGCTAGTTACCAAGAGTGTTAATTATGGATCCAAGCAAGAAGAAGCTGTTGACGGTTTCAATTTCCTCTCCATCCATTATGATTTTGCCTATTTATCCAGTGGTGAGAATTTCTGTTTTTTTGTTTTGTTTTTTACAAAGTCAATTGATTCCTGCCTAAGAGTCTACAATTTGGTGCAGTTGGATTCTAAAGAATAGGTTTTTTTTTTAAATTTTTAAAATTTTTTTTTTTATTGAATTAAAAGTCAGATGTAAACTCTTTGGGCAATTTTTATTTTGTTAACAATCAAATGTAAGCTGATTGGCTGTTTTGACTTAGTTAACATTCACTTGTGGACTGGAAACATCTTGTTAAAGCAATCAGGAAGGACCTTGTATGTGGGTGTTAATTGTGTTTTGTGAGAACATTGTTTTAAGTGGTACAGCACTTGTTCATTTGCTGTTCTGAGGTAACTTGGCCTTACTGTGATACTGAAAGCTGTGCCATTGCTATGTCAAATGCCATAAGGGTTACCTAAAATGGACAGGTTTTGGTGGAGCTCCTGATTATGACAGATTAGGAAGCAGGATAGGACTTTTACTTCTTAAATAATAGGCCTTTGAAAAAAACCTTATTAAAACTAAACTATGAATATCATTGAGCTTACTTCCTTCAAAATATCTGAAATCTCTTAAGATCATTTCATGTCTTAAGTGCAGAATTTGTGAACAAGATTTTAAAATTAGTTTAGTTAAACAAGTTCAACATGATGATTCTCAGGCTAAATTGAGGGCTATATGCTTGAATCACAGCATCTTACAAAACATCTTTGACTAACGTTTAATGGTTTCTATGCTTTGGAGACTCTTTTCATAGTTGCACACTTGAGGCAATTCAAGAAAATCCATTTGGGTTTGAATTGAAAATGGATTTTCATTTGCAATTATAGTCCCTAGCCTATCAGTTGTCATCAAGATCTTCATTCTTTTAATCCCAAGTGTTTTAAAGACCAAGATTTATACTCCGAAGCTCTACTAGTCTTAATACCATAAGGCAAATAATGAGCAGCTACAAATCTTTCTCAGAGAAAGCTAGGTGAGAGAAATATTATACCTTTGTCTAACATCTAGAAATACTTGTCTCTCAAAATTTATCATTCTTTTAGATTTCTCTAGATGTTCCCTAAATTGAAGACTATAGAAAACTAACATTAGAAGGAATATTGCAATTCATTCTGAGTTTTTCTGATTATAAAGAAGAATTAAAAAATATACAGGTAAAGTCACAAAGTAATTCTATTATGCAACTACAGAATGTGTTTTTAAGTTATTTCTATTTTATCAGGATAATTATGGGTTTATATCTAATGTTTAAAAACAAGTACATAAGTGAAAGATTGAGTATCTTCCTCTTGATATTTTTGAGAAAAATTAATTTTAACATTAAGGATATTATAAACCCATTTACCATAGAATCTACAGCACCTGAAGTTGAGATGGTATAGTGACATTACTAAACAATGAATGAGATAAGATTTTAAACAATACACAATTTCATCTTATAAGTCTTAAGAATATTCAAATTGTCTTTTCATTTTCCAAGTAATAGAAAACAAAATAATAAAAGCAGATGTATAACTTTTAAGGTATTGAGACATTTTCTAGGGAAAAGGGCATGTAATAGATTATGCAACATAGTAAATGTGATGAATTTTACTAAAAGGTATACTTAAAAAATACTGAATTGCAAAGTGCTGTTCTATATATATATTTAAAATTTTTAAATTAACATCAAATAATAGATAGATATCTGATTTTTTCAAATTGTTTTGAACAATTTTCCTTTAAAGTTATTCAAAGTTAATAACCTCAATCTGGTGAGGCCAGAGATGTAAAATCATTCATAAAATAACAGTAAACAAATTAGTTTGCCCAAGTGACTCTAGGCTTGAGTTAAAATGTGAATCAGTTCTGTTTTTCCCCCATAACATTTTCTAACATCCTTCAAAATGTTTGTCACCTAATAGCAAGTTTGCCCATAATACATACAAAAAAGAAATGCAGACTAAAGAGGAGCCGTTCTTGATTATTTTGGTTGTATTGTTATTAGGTCCTATAGAGTCAAGTTATGACTCGTAGCAACCCAATAAACAACTTAGTAAAACTTTGTCCTCTTCTGTATATGTTTAAGTTTCAGAAAATACAGGTTCATGTGATCTGGAATATTTAGCTAAAAATTGTATTAACCAGCATTATATGTAAACTACAGTTGAAATAAAGGAGCTCTGCTGTAGACTTCATAACAGTTTCAATCTACCAGCAGTTCTAATGGGGAAAGAAGAGCATTCTTTTCCTGTTAATATTTAACAATATTGGAAACATGATAGAGTATGAGTAGGAAGATAAAAACAAAACAAAACAAAGCAAAAACAAAAAACGAACCCAACCTGTAGATAGTACCACATACTGGGGGAGGGATTGTATAACAATGAAAGAATTTTTTCTTTTACTTTTCAAAGAGAAGAACGAACTGGAGAGGATGGGTAGTCAGGAAGAAAAGTGTAACAATGAATGAATGGAAATCCAAATTCTCTGTAAATTTTCATTAAAATTAAGAATAATAACAAATTTTTAAAAAGAAAGCAAAATAGTATCTACAGAGTGAGGTAGTGGGAAACTCAAGGCTTAAAATCAAAAGCATTCTGATAAAAGAGGAATATACTAATATGTATTTACAACTAGTTCCAGGAAATTTGTTCCATCTTAAGAGAATTATGGCCTAACGAGTAAAGATTTGTGCTACCAAAACAAAGGCACGTGGTATTACTCCACCAGCTGCACAGTAGGAGAAAGATAGACAATCTCTTTCCATGCAATTCATAGCCTCTGCAAACCATTTGAAGGATCAGCTGAGTCCATTATGACATGATGGCATATAACAAGAAGAAAAAAACTGTAACAGGTATATTAAGATTGTTGTTGTGGACCGAAGTCAGAACCGACCCGTAGCCGACCCTCTGGTGGGTTTTCAGATGCAGTTAATGGCAAGGGAGGAGATTGCCCATCCTTCTCCTGCACATCAATTAAATTGTTAAGAAAAGAAAGTCATTTTTGTTACTGTCATTTTCAAGGTAATTGTCTTAAATATTGATCTTCATGGGAGCCTAATGGTGTAGTCCATACCAAGTTGCACTGTGAACTAAAGGTTGCATATTTTCAGTGCTCTGAGTTCTAGGTAAAAGGATGGATAGTCTCCTCCTAGAATGATTTACAGCCTCAGAAACTGAATGGAAGAGCAGTATAAGTCAGACCCAACTCAATGGGAATGAGTAAATAACTAATACTTAGTGACATTTCTTCACTTTTTAAGGTCTAAATTTAAAATATTTGTAGTACAATTTCTCATGTCTTCATGTCACTTGAATAAATTCAGAAAACACACAGTACAAGAAACAAATTTGCAGAAAAAATGGATTTTAAGTATATACTAAGGATCAAGATAACAAATAATGAAACAGAGAAAACCAAACCTAGGGTATTCTGTATTACTTACTAATATTTTTTACAGATTAAGAAATTTCTCCCTGCAAGCATTGCCCTAAAATTACCAAATTACTTCTGTATATCTTCAACTTTAGAATTTTTGATCACATAAAATGACACTTCTAGGATATTAAAGCTTTCTAGAAGTAGTTGTGCCTGTATTTCAGTGACAGCAGGGGAAGTTTGAAGAAGTACCTCTACTTTTTGTTGTTTATTTTTGAAGGGACAATTAGACATATACTCCATAAATTAGATTTTCATGTCTTTACAATTTTATATCAACAGAGAAAGAAAAGATGACTAGGTATAATGACTCATTGAAAACAGAATTTATCCTCATGGGGTTTACAGATCATCCAGATCTGAAGACCCTTCTGTTTGTAGTGTTCTTTATCATCTATCTGATTACCATGGTGGGAAATCTTGGTTTGGTGGCACTGATTGTCTTGGAACGTCGTCTTCACACACCAATGTACATCTTTCTGGGCAACCTAGCTCTGATGGATTCCTGCTGTTCCTGTGCTATCACACCCAAGATGTTAGAGAACTTCTTTTCTGAGGACAGAAAGATTTCCCTCTATGAATGCATGGGACAATTTTACTTCCTTTGCCTTGCTGAAACTACAGACTGTTTTCTTCTGGCAGCTATGGCCTATGATCGTTTTGTGGCAATATGCAGTCCATTGCAGTACCACACCAAGATGTCAAAGCAACTCTGCATTCAGATGATCAAAGGGTCATACATAGCTGGGAACTTGCATCCCATGATTCATGTAGTACTTTTGTTAAGGTTAACTTTCTGTAGGTCTCATCAAATAAATCACTTTTTTTGTGATGTTCTTCCATTATATAGACTCTCCTGTGTAGACCCTTTTATCAATGAACTGATGATACTTGTCTTTGCAGGATCAATCCAGGTCTTCACTATTACCATAGTCTTAATATCTTATATTTGTATCCTTTTCACTATTTTCAAAATGAAATCCAAAGAAGGAAGAGGAAAGGCCTTATCTACTTGTGCCTCTCACTTTCTCTCTATCTCAATATTCTATGGTTCTCTTCTCTTTATGTATGCTAAGCCAAGCTCAGCTAAAGAAGGAGATAAAGAAATACCAGTGGCTGTTTTTTACACTATAGTAATTCCTTTATTAAATCCTTTCATCTATAGTCTAAGAAATAAAGAAATAATAAATGTTATGAAAAGAATTGTAATGAAGAGAAACCCTCAGGTTCTAAAACAAGTATCATCTCCTGTAACCCACTGATGTTAATAAAACTTTTCAAAGGACATGATGTATTTATATTTTTATCAAAGGATATAATAAAAATGGAATCTACTAATTTGGTATGTTAAATATTGAATCACTAAACTGTTACTGTATTTTTACATCAAATACTGTATAGAGGGTTAAATAAGTTTAGAAAGCAGAGATTCCGTTAAAATATATTTCAAAGTTTAAGTGACCAGAATCTCTGAAGAACAAATTAAATAACACTTCAAAGGTCAAAAACTTGTTGACAGTTGAATTAGCTATAATTTCCGACCTATTCAATGAATTATAAGAATGAAATCACTGTATCATAGTAATTTCCATTTAACATTTTTGTAAAAGTTATGAAATAACTAGGGATAATCTTTCAAAATGAAAAGTTTTCTAGTTCTCTTATATTAACTATGTAAGCCACGTCAGTTCTCAGAAGTAAATGACATATTAAAAAATTTTCAACGTGCTGCGTGTTGTTCAAGGCCTTATGTTTGAATGTAGAGTTAGACACAAAATGCTCTTTTAAATAAAGAACATCTTTAATGTTGCTTGTTTTTCTTGTCAAACTCTGATAAATGATTGTTTATATACTGTTAATTTATTTCTCTTTAGTTAAAAATATTGCTACTTATTTTGGAACTCTTAATGGATTTGAAAGTTTTCATCAAGTTTGATTATTTTCCATGATAATGAATATGAAATTCTTGAAATGTTTATTATCTATGAATATATAATACACACTAACAATATTATATATTGCTGTTGTGTGCTATTGGGTCTGAACTGATTCATAGTGATCTTCCAGTGGGATTTCAGAGACAGTAAGTCATGTAGGAGGAGATTGCCCATTCTTCTCCTGTGTAGCAGCTGGTAGATTTCAACTTTACTCCTTTACAGGAATACAGCACAACTTCTTAGCACTAGGATGCCAGAGTTACATCATATAGAATTCCTTGTTCTATTTGTTATTTTGTGTATCAGTAAACTGTACTAACTAAAATATAGATTTATTATGTGCATTAAGTGTAAGCTTGGTTTGATCAGTAAATAGTGACAATACCGAGTTAAACAACACAAACTAGTACTTAATCATTTAAATGTGAAAATGTGAAAGAAAGATGGTTTGATAAGGACTTACTGTTTACTTGACACAAAACTGATCCTTTCATGTATGTTGATCCTTTCAAGGTGTTAGGCATTATTTTTCATACCTTTCACACCTTAGGTTAAACAGTCATATTTTGAAATACTAAGTAGCTTGCCCCAATTCACTGAAGCATCTGGAATGGAATCAGAATTTGAACCAACGACATCTTTTCTTCATATTTTTTTTTACAATTTCTTTTACAAAGACTAAAGTCACAGTTCATTTCAAAATGCCTAAAGTAAAATAACAAATTGTACATACACATATGGGGAGAAAAAGCTGGGAAATTGTATATAAGAAATTTTTTAAGTTTCGTTATGGTTTGTGATATAAAATTCAGAAAATGGAGAAGTGCAATCTGGAATAGTTATCGAAGAGCCGCTATAAAAAATAACAGAAATTCAAAGGATGGAAATGTTGATTTTGTGGGAATAATGGAAACAATAGTATGAATAGGATTAGAGCTTATGGAAATGAGTATGACAAGGGGACAGGACGTGAGAGAGATAAGGATAACTAGAGAGTTGCAGCACTCCTAGAAAAAAGCTGTTTATAATTGTGGTTAGGATGGCCTAATGGTAAGTAGCTGCGCTGAATCCTGAAAGCACATGACTTGAATCCACCAGCTGCTTTGTGGGAAAACAGAGGCAATTTCCTTCTGTGTAATTAATTGACTCTAAAAAACCTACCTTAAGTTCAGCTATGGGTTTGTTCTGACTTGATACAAAAGAGAGACAGTATATGTGTTTTCAAAGAAATTTAAATTCTACATTTAAAAATCTAAATTTACTTACTTATTGCTTGTTTATTGTTATGTGCAGTTGAACTGTAATTGGCTCATAACTGACACAATAGCATTTTTTAAGAGGCAGTGTATCACACAGATGAGGATTGCCAGTCTTACATTGAAGGAGCAGTTGGTGGATTTGAATCAAGTGTCTTTGGATTGGTGGTGTAACTCTTTACTATTAGGCTACCAAAGCTCCCTGTTTCCATCTTCTTAGAAGTAGAATAGTATGACTGCTACTAGACAAGTTACATGGCAATTAGAGAGTCTAGAAGTAATGATTAACTGCAGTAATTCAACAATTAAGTGATAAGAATTTTAGTGGCAATATTTTAAATAAAGGGAAAGGCACATAAATAAAAATAACATTTTAAATAAGAACAAATAGAAAATTCAGTGTTTGGAAAGAAACAGGATTCACAATACATATTTTAGAATGGCATAATTAAATTCATAACATTATACTAATAATATAGTCCAATGTGGAAAGTCTATATGTACCCACAAAATCTGTGGAAGGATGCTAACTCTCAAACCTGAAACTTTACAATGGGAAAAAATGTCAGTCACACACATCTATACAATCATATAAGGGAAAATTTATGTGTCCAATAAAAGAGAATTCCCATGTGCATGTGACCTATCATAATTCCTGTTGTTGTTGTTATAGGCCATCGAGTTACTTGTGACTCATAGAGACCCTATGTACAACAGCCCTAAACCCTGCTCTGTCCTGTACAATCGCACTGTCTCTGATTACCCCAGTCACTGAATCAATCCACCTCATAAAAGGTCTTCCCCTCCTGTGCTGTTCCTCCACCCTCCCAAGAATGATGTCCCTCTTCAAGGACTGATCCTTCCTCACGATATGTCCAAAGTATGTCAGATGAAGCCTCAGAATCCTTGCCTCCAAGGAGCAGCCTGGTTTAACCCTCTCCAGGATAAAACCTGTTTGCAGTCCATGGTACATTCAGTACTCTTCTCCAGCACCACAGCTCAAAGGCATCAATTCTCTATCTTCCCTAGTCATTGTCCAACTCTCTGATACATAACAAGTGATTGCAAAGACCATGGCCTGTATCAGACGCACCTTAGTCTCCAGAGTGACACCATTGCTCTTTATACTTTGGAGAGGTCCCTAACAGCAGACTTTTCCATTGCAATATGTCTTTTAATTTCCTGGCTGCTGGTGCCAAGAGTATTGACTGTGAAACCAAGGAAACTAAAGCTATGAACAATCTCAGTCTCTTCACGATCCATCCTGATGCTGCCAATTGGTCCAGTGGTGAGACTCTTTGTCTTCTTGATATTTAGCCTCAATCTATATTGAAGGCTGCAATCTTTGACCCTCTGCAGCAAGCGCTTCAGGTCCTCCTCAATTTCAGCAAGCAGGGTTGTATCATCTGCAATCCTGACACCACACTTTTCATAGAGCCCAACCTTCTGGATAATCTGTTCTGCATACAGGTTGAAAAGGTGTGGAGATAGGACACATCCCTGGAGTACACCCTTCCCAATTTTGAACCATGCAGTGTTTCCTTGCTCTGTTCTGACGACTGCCTCTTAGTCCAAGTATAGGTTTTGCATTAGCACAATCAAGTATTCTGGGATTCCCATTCTTCTCAGAGTCAGCCACAGTTTGTTATGATCCACACAGTCAAACACCTTTTCATAATCAATGAAACACAGATAGACATTCCTCTGGTATTACCTCCTTTCAGCTAAGATCCTTCTCACATTAGCTACACTATCCCTAGTACCATGTATTTTCAGCTAACAGATAATGCCCTTGATGTGCTCAACAAGTTGTGCCAAGAAATCTGGAGGACAACCACTTGGCAAACTGACTAGAAGAGATCTATATTTGTTCCCATTCCAAAGAATAGGAATTTTGGTGACTCAACAGAGTGTGGAAACTATAGAACAATATCATTGATTTCATTTGCAAGAAAGATTCTACTGAAGATTATCCAAAACGACTGGAACAGCACATCAGTAGAGAGCTGCCAGAAGTTCAGAAGTCCAGAAGGGGTTGTGGTACTAGGGATATTGTAGCTAATGTTACATGGATCATAATTCCTACAGAAATAAAACTATTCTCAAGCAACCAGCAGCATCATAATAACACACAGAACCCTACTACTAAAAAAAAAAAATTCAACTTAATAAAATGGAAAGTAAACAATGCAAAGTAATGGAAAATAGCTAAGCTGTACATATAACAGAACTAGACATAAATATATTATCAATAATCATTTATAAATACAAATAACATAGAATCTTAATATCTTTAATGTTATAGTAACAACAAATTATAGGAAAAAGTGTAATATAAAGCTCAAGCAAATGAACAACATATAAAGAAAATCTTTTGAGCATGTTCTAATAGCAGAACTAATGATAAGGAAATCAAAAGTCTAATAATGAGTCTTCTTTCTGGCCCCAGGACCAGAGGTAGGGAGGATTGTCCTTTTTTCTCCTGGAATAGTGAACTCTCCAGCCAAAACAAGTCTTCTTATTTATCTCAATACTAGAGAGGACCTCAGGCAGGGTGAATGGAACAATGAATTTCCCAGCCAAGGCAGGTTTCCTTGCTATTTCCCTGAACCAGAGTGGACTCAGGCAAGCTACAACCAGGCTGAAGAGAAGACAAAAGTATACAGCAAGCACTGGCCATCAAGACTTCAAGAGAAGGTCTGTGCAGCATTCCTGGAACTTTCTCAGCTCACCATAGAGGCTTTGTGTACTTAGGAGAGAAACATTTCCTCATTTCCAAACCTCATCCACTTCAAATAATGTCAAGGAAGTAACCGGCAGGAACAAATATCATGGAAAAAAAAACCAAAACAAGCCTTTTTCTAAAAAATCAAACCAGATTGAGAACACAGTCCTATACTAAAATTCAAAATTGGCTCCTTAATATGTATATAAAAAGATCTGTTTATATGATTTTTATTCAAATTTACACATCAAACACTAAAACCAGATATGAAGAAATTGATGATTTTGAAATATTACAAAATAAAATTAACAGAACATGCAGTTCATATAGATGAATAACTGGTT